AAAGAGAAAGGAAATATTGAAATCGCATCATATGACCCCTTTAATTCAAAAGGAAAACAAGTTTTCATTCCCCATTAACAGATGTTCATCCTTGTTTTAAAGGATTAGTTCACTTCTGAATTAAAATGTCCTCATAATTTTCTCACCCCCATGTCATCCAAGATGTTCATGTCTTTCTTTTTTCAGTCGAAAAGAAATTAAGGTTTTTGAGGAAAACATTCCAGGGTTTTTCTCTATATAATGGACTTCAGTGGGGTTCACTGGGTGAAAGGTCCAAATTGCAGCTTCAGTGCAGCTTCAAAGCATTCTACAGAATCTACACGATCCCAGACGAGGAATATGGGACTTATCTAGCGAAACGATCGGTCATTTTCTAAAAAAAAAATTACAATTTATATACTTTTTAACCTCAAACGCTCATCTTGTCTAATTCTGTGCGAACTCTCTGTGTTCCGGTATGGACAGTTATGGTGTATCGAAAAACTCCCATCTCATTTTCTCCAACTTCGTCTGGGATCGTGTAGAACGCTTTGAAGCTGCACTTTGGACCTTCCACCCAGTGAACCCCACTGAAGTCCACTATATAGAGAAAAGCCCTGGAATGTTTTCCTCAAAAAAATTATTTTCGACTGAAGAAAGAAAGACATGAACATCTTGAATGACATGGAGATGAGTAAATTAAGAGGACATTTTAATTCAGAATCCTTTAAGCCTAACTTAATTTAATTTCGTTCAGTTTATCAGATAACATCATGTTTCATGTTCAATATGCACCTCAAATGAATGTATCTTGTTTTAATGATGTTTAGGTGTTTGTATTGCAAAAAAAAATTGCAATATGGCATCTAATGCCATGTCTTTATAAATGTAAGACCTTATTTTCTTTTGTTAGGCCTTCATTTGTGGAAAGGCCAATTAAGATATTTTAAAGACCTGCAGAAACCCTGGTATTTAGAGAAATGTAGATACTCTTTTTCTGTAACCCTAAGTTATTTACATGGATTAATTATCCAAACCCATCTCATTTTATTTATTTATTAATGTATTTTAGATGAAGTGGTCTTGTTATCTCTTACCCACATATGTGCATTGTAAGGTTAAGAAAACTATTTTAAAAAAAGAACACCTACGGCTTTTCAACAGTCCATTCCTTTTATTTTCACAGGTTATGCAATTGCCAGCACCACTGCTACCCAGCTGAAACAGGCTGTTTCTCTGGGTCAGGACATGACTGCCTATGCAACCTACGAGGGTTACCCTGCCTTTGCTGTGGCAACCCGTGGGAATGCATATGGAGTGTTTTAAAACCTTTAACTAACAGTCTCTGTAATGTCAATGTTAACCTGTTCCATGTATTCTGTCGTGTCTATAGGTTAGTAGTAATTGTTTGTTTAGAGTTTATGAAAACTTTATTTCTTCCCAAGTGTTTTTTGAGCATTTTTGCGATTTGGAAGTATATGAGTCATCTTTTGACTTAACTCAGGAAGAGGGCTGAAGGCTGCCAACAACTCAATCCCAAATGTTTCCAAAAAATGTCACATTTTACGTTTTATTGCTGTTTTTCAAGGCTTGAATTCCGTTGATTTAAACATTATTTGTGTCATAAATTGTGGTCATCCAGAATGGTGACTTTATATATATATATATATAAATTAGAGAAATTTAGGCTGGACCATTGTTCAATGCTGCCTGCTGCCTTTGAACGATTGCATTTAACAATGAATCATTACAATTGAATGTAATTTCGAAACACATAGTAATATTCCATTGTGCTAAGTTTTATCCAAACATTTACTTTACTAAGCTTTGGTATTGTATTTAAAGTGGTTTGTTTTTGTGTTGGTTTTCTTTCAGTATTTACGTTAACACCTAAGTACAGAGAGTTTTAACAGATTATACCCATTCATACACTTGTGTATGTATCTGCAGGTTTTAGGATCATTTTAGATATGGTTGACACTTTGTATCTGGTTCGTTTATTGGTAGTTTTGCAATATTTTATAAGATATTTACAGGCTTGCTACTATTTTCCCACTTCATACGTTTTCTAAGTGGGGAATGTAAGAGCATTGTTTAAATACACATGGACACATTTTTGTTATACGTGAAGATGCCTTAAAGGTGACAGTATTAAAGTTTGTGTAGCACTTAGAACTTATTTTTATACCTGACTTCCAACTCTGTTTGGAGGAACTTTGTTATTCGATCATAGAGTTTTTGAAATTATTTATTGTCTAAGTGATCGACATCAGATCTGGAGGGAGAATTGGACAGGCATCATCAGGACAAAAAAAATAAGCTGAGCTCTTCATAGTGCTACAAAGAAAGAGAGTTGTGAAAATATAATTCTAATAAATCAACTAACCATCAATAAATCAAATTCACTTCTTGACATGTCTCCTGACTACTTGTTTTGCATTTGTGACACATTTTAAATGATCATGAAACCCTAAAACACATTTTTTGACAATAAGCATATGTACAGGTTGCACATTCAGTAGTTCCCTTTCAGGAACTCGAGCTGCGTCGAGACGCTTTGGGAACGCCTTCAGCGTGACAACACTCTGAATCACGAGTGAAATCAGTCCAATGAATGGGCAAGAAGTCACGGACAGGGTGACGTAGTGACCAGGAAGCTATAAAAGCACGTGCAGTGGAAACAGCGGCAGCTTCTGTCATTCAGTGAAGCGCTCTGTGTGTGTATGTTTTATTTACTGTTGTCTGTCACTATCTCCAACAACTTAAGCAAGTCAAAGGCTAAGACAAATAAGGGCAATGATAAAGGCAAACATCAGTTTAGGCTGTGTGTTCTTCCCTGCCCTCGTTACATCACGGGCGGGGATACACACAGCCTTTGTGTTGTTTGCCTGGGAGTGAAGCACACTGAGTCAGCTCTCGAGGGGGTTGACTGTCCGCACTGTGAGCACCTCTCGCTGCGGACGCTTCGCTCCCGGGGGGCTCTCTTTGAGGAGGGAGCCCTTGCCAGGCGTTCCTCGTGGCTCAGGCCCTGCTGCTGCCGAGGCAGAGCAGCGGCGGCGGTCGTGGAGATCGCAAATGGATCTGGCGGAAAGAATGGAGATGGGCAAGTCCCTTTCTTCTTCCTCAACCTCCAGATCCAGTGCACCCTCCCAGGGTTAGGATGCACGCTCTGCGGGTTTTTCCCCCCCGGGTAGAGGGCTCGACGCTCAGGCTATCGTCCTCCCAGGAGGGCGATGTAGAGGGCTTCGATGAGTCCCCGCAATCCGCCCAGTATGAGGAGCTTGTGGAGGTGATAACTCGTGCAGTGGCCAAGTTAAATCTCGAGTGGTCCACCGAGAAGCAGGCTGAGCTGACGAAAAGCAAGTTAGATGAGTGCTTTTTACGGTCGAAGCCGCTCCCTCTACACCGGGGCTTGCCGTTTTCCCCCAATCTCCACACCGAGGTGTCGAGATCGTGGTCGAGTCCATACTCGGCACGCCTCTCCGAGTCCCTCCCTTGTTGATTATTCTAACATTACGGGACTAAATGAGTGCGGTTACAGGGCGATGCCCTGGGTTGCCGCAGAGAGGTATCTATGGTTGACCCTGTCAGAAATAAAAGACAAGGACAAGGTCTTCCTCCTCAACGCCCCGCTTGCACCTTCTGGCCTATTCGGCGACGCTGTCAACTCAGTTGTCGACAGGTTTCAGGAGGCCCGTAAACAAGTGGCGGCATTTCAGTGGTTCCTGCCTTGCTGCTCTCTAGCTCATGGGGCTGTTGGAAGGGAGCAGCCCCAACCATGTGCCCGCTCCTCATACAGAGAGGTGCAAAAGCTGAGCATCGCGACCTGTACTCCCCCGCGTGGTGACTGGGGGTCACGGGGAGAGCGACGCTCACGGTTGAAGGCTTCGAAGCCGAAGGTCGATCTGAGGACTGTCCTTCTTGCTAAGAAGTCTTCGACCAAGAAGAGGGCAGCTGAGGGCAGCCCCTGCTGGGGAAGAGTGGTGTACACCTCACTACACGGTGCCTGAACCACTTTCAGTGCTATTTAGCACCATGTACAGTAGGTGTGTTTCATTGTCTCATTTTTGCTCTTTGCATCACCAAACTATGCTACACGGGTCAAGTCTTTTCAACATGGCAGAATACATTAAGTGCATGACCAGCAGTATGTGTAATGAAAACTTTTTTATGGAAAACTACGAGTCTTTACAAAAACATATTATATCTATGTAATTTTTAAAAAATCAGAATTTAACTGAATGCACCTTTGGGCTGAAAATAGTAATTTTTCGAGCTTTTGAGCCATTTTTTCTTCCATTTGAAAGGTGCTTGCTACTTTTATAAAACAAATAGTGCATAATTAAAACAAATTTAAATAAAAACTTGGGTTCTACGTGTGCTGCCTAATGATAATGTGAACACATATTGTTTATTTTAGCAGTTAGAGACCAATGGAACAGTTTTATAGATATTTTTATACTTAACTAAACAATTGCTATACCTTAGAAATCAATATTATAAAAAAGGAAAGTTCACCTTGCTGAAACAAACAATGGAAACCATCACAGAAATTCCAATGGTTTCCACTACAAATACCATTACAAACCATCAACTTTTTACCATTAAAACCATTAAAAATTGTTTCCTGTAGTGTGTTTTGGGGACATATTCCATTAGGTTTTATTGGTTTTATCAAGCCATCAATAGAAGGTGACCAATTACAAGGAGAAAACCACAGGCACCATTACAGTTTTCATTAAAACCAATACATTTTATTGGTTATCTAATACATTTCTATTGTTTTTTTTTTTTAGCAGGGCAGTGTCTGTGAATTTTACATTTTAGTACTCTCACTGTATGAAAGTTTAAAGACAATGTAAAGAACAACAACGTTTAGTTATTAAGTTAATTGAACACTGCCTTATGAGCAGCTAATATCTGTCAGCCTCGCATCTAATGATCTTTCTCAGTGATACACTGATCAATAGTAGTAAAAACTTTTGGTGACTTTGAAAGCATCAGAAGTGCCCACATATGGTGTGGTGATGGTGTTGTTATCCATGATTTGTTTGTAGTGTCCAAAGTGTTGAATCCGGTAGGTTCCTGTCTGTGCCGTGAGCGGGATGTGCCACTCCACTTTTGACTGACTCCGGCCAGCAAGTCCTTTAATCCAGTGAAACCTGAATACACAAAACGTGTCTACATTATAGTGCATATTGATTTTTAATTATTAAGTTGGCTTGAGAAAGCCAACTCACTGAAATCCTATTTAAACTTCTTCTTCTGAGACCAAATTTTAAAGTGCATCTCCTCCTAGACTTTTAAAGCTACAACCACCAAACTTTCTATCTTTCTAAGGGTTGCTATTTTTTTTCTAACTGATCCGGCTTACGGTTTTCGTAAACCAGACTATCAAAACCACCTAAAATCCCATAGACTTTCATTGAGGGGGTGAAAACTTTTATACAATAAGACGTATGATGTATTTAAAGGGTTAGTTCACCCAAAAATGAAACTAGCTTGAAAGATTGAACTAACCCTTTAAGCTGTCTATTGCTATGGCAAAGTTTAACAACTCCCTACTGAAAAAAAACCCCAGCCTAAGCTGATTGGCTGCTTTGGATGGTCTCTCAAGCTGGTTTTAAAGTGGTTTTGGCCACTTTTTTAGTGGTCTTAGCTGTTTTTTACCTGTTTTTTTACTTAATCAACTGTTTTTAGCTGGATTAGCATAGAAACATGTTAACAACATGCTAGTAACTTGCTAATCATGCTAGAAAAATGTTAACAAAATGCTAGTAACTTGCTTATCATGCTAACAACATGCTAGTAACAAGCTAATCATGCTAGAAAAATGCTAGTAACTTGTTAATCATGCTAACAAAATGCTAACACCATGCTAATCATGCTAGAAACATGTTAACAACTTGATAAAGATGCTAGTTACAAGCTAATCATGTTAACAACATGCTAGTAACTTGCTAATCATGATAACAACATGCTAGTAACATGCTATTCATGCTAGAAATGTGCTAGTAACTTGTTAATCATGCTAACAAAATGTTAACACCATGTTAGTAACGTGTTAATCATGCTAGAAACATGCTAGCAACATGCTAGTAACTTGCTAATCATGTTAACAAAATGCTAGTAACTTGCTAATCATGCTAGAAACATGCAAACAATTTGCTAGTAACTTGCTAATCATGGTAACAACATGCTAGTAACTTGTTAATCATGCTAGAAACATGCTAACAAAATGCTAGTAATTGCTATTCATGCTAGAAACTTGCTAATAACTTGGTAAACATGCTAATCATGCTACAAACATGCTAGTAACCTTCGATAAACAACACGCTAGTAACTTGTTAGACATGCTAACAACATGCTAGTAACTTGCTAATCATGCTGGAAACATGCTAACAACATGCTAGCAACTTGATAATCATGCTACCAACATGCTAATCATGCTAGAGACATGCTGGTAACTTGCTAATAATGCTAACAACATGCTAGTAACACCCTAGCAACCACCCTGAGTACCCTAGCAACCACATAGCAACACCCTATCAACCACCAAGAATACCCAAGCAACTGCAGAGCAACAGCCTAGCACCCACCCCAAGTACCCTAGCAACCACATAGCAATACTGTAGCAACTACCCCAGGTACCCTAGAAACACCCTAGCAACCACCTTGAGTACCCTAGCAACCACCCTAGAAGCCACCCCAGGTACCCTAGCGATCTGTTTTTCTATGTCTGTTCTTTTGATAGACTGTATTGCCTTCAAAACATTCAAACTTTAATCTTTAAAACTATTTTAAGTATTTCAAACTACTTCAAACTAAAAACCTTCAAACTTCAAGCTTTTAAAACTTTTACAAACTTTCTGGCTAGGCTTTTTCAAGCAAACTTAAAGTTTGTCTACGAGCTATACTATCTAGTTAATATTATAATTTAACATTTTTACATGATTTTTCCCAGTTTTGAAATTTAGGTTTGTCTCTGCGCTCAAAGAATTTTAAAAACTGATATCAAATAAATCAACACTCAATCAAAAAACTTCAATGCCCTTTTATCAGTTCCAGTTTTGCGGACATACTGTGTTTTAAATACTCAGACTGTCTAATCTAGAATTCCAATAGGGATCACACATGGATTTTGGCCCGAGGATTGAACTGGCTATATAATAAGTGATAAGACCTTGACTCAGCGTTTGCCTTATCGGGGATAGACCGTGAAAGATACCATCAGCATTAAGACAGCTTTATTAACTCAACCTCTAAGGAAAAGTATAGAATAATACAAATGAATATGATAACATTAGCATTTAAAAAGCATAAACAATGCCTCTTTCTTCAGCATGTACTGTGTGTCTGTAGGAAACACATTACCTCGTTTCCCACGATGCATCTGTGTGAACTATTTCCCATGAGTCGGTGTCGTTGTGAAACCTCTCCACTGTGACAAATGTCTTATCTCTCTGATATCATAATCACCACAGATTAGTTATATCTCATACATAAAGGAGCATGTTTTGCACAAGATTATTGTACAGTTACTGCTACTAAAGAACTCACAATATCTCCAGAGTGTCTCGGGTTTCCAGCGACAAATGTGACAGATGCAATTTCTCCCTTCAGAATAAATAAATCAGATAAAGCTTGTCAATTTATAATAGTGAGCGTATCTTTCACTAGTACAGTGTTAATGTACAGTCACATTTTTCACGGGCAAAAAAGTCCATTATCAACAGCATAGCAGTTTTTAAAAAGAAGTCACATTCAAACCAAGCATCTTTATGTTGGCCAATGCAGCAAAATCACATTTTTATGTTACAAAAACGAACTTTTCACCCTCACGTGAAACTCCCAAACATGTGGATTCCTATTGAAATAATTGATTTTGCCCGCAAAATTGCGCCAAACAATGGTAAATGTGACTGTACTGTTTCTACATCACAATTATTGACTTACCACTTTATAGGAAGGGTTAACCTGCTCTAAGATGTCACCAAATACGGTGTCAGCTGGTGCTAAATCTGCCACTGGGTCCTTCACTTGATTAAAAAGTTTGTCTTCATCAAAGAAAGGGGGATCAGGACCTTTCGGCAGATCTCTTATTGTTCCCTGTGGAAGATTGGTTTATTCATGAGATCAGCCAGGCCAATTCAGTTCATCAAAATGTCACAAATGACTGTAAGGCAGCGGAGTCTTACATGAGCTATAGCTTTGGCCAGGCCTCTGTAGCGCTGGATATAAGCCGAGAGAGTGTGAGGGCCAAAAATAGTGGATGCGCCCTCATATCGCTGGATCTGTGAGGATAGAGGAAAAAGACAGATGCATATTTTTTGGGATCACTGATGCACTTTGGAGCACCATGTACTGTAAATACCATGACTAAAACCATGTGTTTTCTAGCATACACACCTGATACTCTTCATATGTTGTGATGTAGTGGGTGTAGATGTTGCACAGACCAGCAACGACCACTTCTGCATTAGCGAAAGACTCTTTCACCTCCAACTCCTATGGAAATCATGTGAAATGGTTATGACGTCAACTTAAAAAAATATATATAATAATTCTGTACCTCTGAACATATTTTAAAATAAAAGTTTTTCGGTAACACATTGTTTGAAGGACAAATTCTCACTATTAGCTAGTTGCTTATTAGTAAGCATATTACTAGCATATCGGCTGTTTATTAGTACTTATAAAGCACATATCAATGCCTTATTCTGCATGGCCATATTTTAAATCTCTTAATCCTACCCTATACAAACTTAACAACTACCTTACTAACTATTAATAAGCAGGGAATTAGGACTATATTAAGGCAAAAGTTGTAGTTAATAGTTTGTTAATAGTGGTTTTAAACAAACGTGGATAACTGGTCAAAAGTTAGAAATATATATATATTTTTTTTAATGTTTTTGATGTAATAAAAAATATTTAGGTTATTCCTGTGATGCATTTCTTTAGTTTTCAGTGTCACATGACCCTTCAGACATCATTCTAATAAGCTGACTGGCTGAAATATTTCTTATCAATGTTAAAAAATAGTTTTTGCTGTTTAACATTTTCGTAGAAACTGTCATACACTACCATTCAAATGTTTAAGGTAAAGATTTAAAAAAAATTGATCAAAAGTGACAGTAAAGACATTTATAATATACAGTAACAAAATATTTATATTTTAAATTCTGCAAAACAGCAAACAGCAAAAACTATTTTCAATGGTGATAAGAACCATTTTTAATAATTCAGCACCAATAATAATTTATCAAATCAAGCACCAAAATCAGCATATGAGAATGATTTCTAAAGGATCGTGTGACACTGAAGACTGGAGTAAAGATGCTGAAAATTCAGCTTTTGCATCAGAGGAATAAATTACATTTAAACAAATATTAAAATAGAATACAGTTATTTTTCATTTTAATTACATAATACAAAATTACTGTTCTTACTGTATTTTTGATCAAATAAAAGCAGCCTTGGTGAGCATAAGAGACTTCTTTTAAAGTAATTAAAAAGTCTTAAATATTCCAAATGTTTTACCAGTAGTGTATGTGCAATTCGTACCTTTTTGACTGCCTCTCGTATTCTTCTCCCTGACATGGTACTAGAACATAGAAAACAATTCGGGGTAAACCATATTGGCTCATTATAGAGCCACTGTTTTCTATATTAAACTTTCTTAACAGAACTCACGTAAATTCTCCTGGGACCGCAACTATGGCTAAAGAGCCAATAGTGATGATCTGAACGTCCACAATGGCTGGATGCCATGGGAGGGGCGAATTCATCTGCATAAAAACAATTATCAATGTTATTATTTCGAAGCAAATAAAACAATCCGACAGGTGTTATTAATACATACTTGCCATTACCTATTGTCACGTACTTGTAAAAAGTGCCAATTCTTAAGCGATTTTCCCTTTTGGCACATTCTTATCTTAACAAAAGATAACGTATTGTATATTAGGTTTTATAATTCTGCTTCTTCATGAGTTCTAATTGTCCTCATACCTCCCCAGTGCTGAAGAGGATTGGTTTAGGCCGATGACAAGCTGTGGTCTCGTTGGACGGCGGTCCCAAAACTGCATCTCTTATTCCATCCCAGAAAGGATCTCCATTTGTATCCCCTGGTCACAAGCATAACCATACTTCTGTCATGACAACTCTCGGAGGATGGTAATGTACATGACAATGCTAATGTATTTGGTCTTGGCGGAATAAATTGCAATTTGACCGTGTTTTCTTACAATTCACCCAAAAGTGTAAACTATTATTATAATATAAATGACTGAATTATTGAATATAGAACATTTATTTAAAGTTGCTTTAAAACAATGTGTATTTTAAAAAGTGCTATTCAAATATACAGGTGCATCTCAATAAATTAGAATGTCGTGGAAAAGTTCATTTATTTCAGTAATTCAACTGTAATTGTGAAACTCATGTATTAAATAAATTCGATGCACACAGACTGGAGTAGTTTAAGTCTTTGGTTCTTTTAATTGTGATGATTTTAGCTCACATTTAACAAAAACCCACCAATTCACTATCTCCTTATGAAGTATTCTAATTTGTTGAGATGATTGTGAATTGGTGGGTTTTTGTTAAATGTGAGCCAAATCATCACAATTAAAAGAACCAAAGACTTAAACTACTTCAGTCTGTGTGCACTGAATTTATTTAATACACGAGTTTCACAATTTGAGTTGAATTACTGAAATAAATGAACTTTTCCATGACATTCTAATTTATTGAGATGCACCTGTAATTGATTTGAGTACTCTTTTAGAACATGTTTCTGGTCTCATTAGCCGTATTTTATGCACAGGAACCCTGTACTCACTGTATGAGTTGAGTTCAATGGGACAGTCTCATCGGTCATGTTGACCCACTGATGTGCGCCGTAAACGGGCCCATGTAGCTCCTGCTTTGCTCTGCTGTACAGCTCCTGCAGAACAAATTGACTAGGTAAAATAATGCACTCACACCACAATCACTGATACATATCAAGGATCAAACAATATCACAAATGAGACAAACCTTTGCTTTTTTGTACATATTCTCTCCTATCATCCTGGTACTTTCAAACATGTCCTCACCCGGTCCAAAAGCTAAGCATTCTTTTTTCTGTTGAAAGGCACATGGAGAGTGAACTGAGTGAAGTGTCTTCAAATATTTAAGTTGAAATACAAAACTTAATGTTTCAATTAATCAATCAATCAATCATATATATATACATATAATTTTTTGTTTTATTATTATAATTTTTTATAGAAATTATATACATTTTATTTGAAAACATCGACCTTGTATTTCAATGTAGTATATAATATAGATAAATAAAAAAGAAATTTACTGTATTGCAAATTCAACAATCACACAAAAGAATATTTTAATTAGTGGAATGTGACCAAATTAATATATATATATATTATATATAATATGTATAATATAATATATATAATTTTGTTTACATAATATGTGTGTACTGTTTATATTTATTATGTATATATACTGTAAATACACACACATGCATGTATATATTTAAGAAACATGTTACATTTATATATTAAATATATTTATATATTATATAATTTATATGAATATAAATATATACATGTAAATACATGTAAACATGTGAATATTTTCAAAATATATGCTGTATGTGTGTGTCTTTATATATACATAATAAATATACACAGTACACGCACATATATTATGTAAACAAAAACTTTAATTTTGGATGCGATTAATCGCGATTAATCGTTTGACAGCACTAATATATATCTATATATATATGTATACATTTTACATACCGTGTCCTTAATACCCCACATATTGTGTGTAAAAATGAAATAGTAAATTAAAGGTATTCTTAGTACAAGTCTATAGTAAATTGTGAACAATCCTGTTAATATAATGCATGTTTATAATAATAACTCACTCCACCGATGGGACAGGAGCTGTTAAGGTAGTCACACTTCTCGCCTGTGTTCACACAGACGGGGCCGAGAATGTTGGGAGATGAATCTCCAAGATTACTGGAGGAAAAGCCGGCTACAAAAGGACCCTGGAGGTACACAGAGTGTGACGCATTAGTGCGGAGCTTTTCATTCTGTCCCCGAGTCAAAAAGTCTATTAAAGATAACTGCCGACATAAGCAACAGAAATGTTACAGATCTTGCATAATACCAGCATTAATTAACATCTTCAGTAAACCTCCTCTGTGTTTAGAGCATTTATTGGCTTTATTGAACGGCAAAATGTCCTTGTGAACTCAAGTAGATTACAACTAATAAAGACAATTAATTAACCTTGAAGATGGGGCTCAGTGGGAAAGCTGTAATTAAAAGGTTGACCTTTTACCTCACCGGGTAGAAAGCCAATGTTTTTCTCTTGCTCGAAGGCATAAGAGGCGTAGCCGAGGTTGTCTGAGCTCACCATGCGATTGGTGTTATTCATACTGACGGGATGAACAGCAAACCAGCTGAGGACAGATACATAGCCAATAAATGAATGCATTGCATTTATTATCAATGTATTTAGTGAAGTCAGTTACCTTGAAGACCATAAGATCTTGCTATGTTTGCACTGAACCGTAAGACTTTCCAAAGTAAATGCTATATTATACCTGAGCAAGCCCATACCATCCCCATCCAGATCTGTGAATTTCAGGATGACAATCTGCTTGTCTGTGTTGAATTCATATCTGGGTTGGAAACAGAGTCAGAAATGAATGTGTTGTGACTTACAGCTGTATTGATGGTAGGGGATGTTTGTCACATTTTACTGTAAAACAACTTTGAGACAAAACTGCAAATACATAAATGTTCAGCTAAAAAAGTTATTTCCGTTTACTTCCCTTTGTCGTACCAAACCTGTATGACTGACTTTCTTCTGTGGAACACAAAAGAAGATATTTTGAAGAATGTTGGTAACCAAATGGTTTTGTGTCCCATTGACTTACATAGCATGAATACAAAATACTATGAAAGTCAATGGGACCCAAAATGGTTTGGTTACTAAGACTCTTCAGAATATCTTGTTTTGTGTTCTACAGAAGATAGAAACATGAGACCTTTTTATTTTGGGGTGGACTATCCCTTTAATAATAAAAGCTGGGTTACTTTAAACTGCAGCTGGACCAATATGAGCACATCAGCAAACAAACAAACCTGTTTCTCTCCTCCTCAGGGTTGTTCATGTATGAATGTGGGCTTCTGTTCAAGTTGCTGTCGACTAGTTGTCCTTTATTTATAAAAATTCGTCCAGGTCTCAAATTCCTGTGAGCTAGATCAATGCTCTGATGCAGAGGATGGAAAATATTATAAATGACATGCTGAAGGCATTTACATGAACTAATTCAAAGGGTACACATTTATATGTTAACATATCAGAAATGCATTTCAAATAAGAGCAGGCCAGTAAAGCTTACCTTGACTATTCCACTGACGATGGCTTGTATAGACGGCTTAATGTAGCCTTTACTGGTGATCATAAAGAGGGTGTACTGGAAATAGCCACCCACGCCTGCATGTGTGTGTGTGCCACTAATGACCACATTGTCCTGTCTGTACAGGTCTCCGTATTTCGCCTTAAGCTCTTGCAGAACCTAAAATGGTTTGGGACGATGATATTTAAATTCACCCTCATAATGCAATTCTAATGAGATTTGGGCAATATTGCGATTAAACTTTACCTCACGTAAACACGATCAAACTGATGTGATTAAAGCTCATAATCATAGGAATTATAATAGTAAAATTTGTGGTGCATGCTGATTTGAAAATCACAATAAAACGGCATGTAAACACAGTCACTAACAAGTAAAAATATGCCAGAAATGATCATAAGGAGAAAATCTAGTTTGAAACATGAGTCAGATTATTAGATATGCAAGATCTTTGTATTAATTTTAGTTTCTCAGATTTTTAAAATTCGACATGTTATACAGTTCTGTACTAGACATTTGATTTAATCATTCCCAAAAAAATGTCAGTTGGTGTAACATAATTAAATAAAATAATAATAATAACAATACAAAACCCTGACAGCTTTATTATAATATTTAATTTAAAAATAATCTAAAATATTTTTCAAAGTAGAAAGTATGAATAAAAATTTAAAATTGAAAAGCTTTTGTAGAATATTATTATTATTATCATTATTATTAAACGTGTTCTTTGTATTTGTGAAATTTACTAGCAATTTTCCTTCACTGGGTCACTGACAATGTGTGTGTGCGTGTGTGTGTGTGTGTGTGTGTGTGTGTGTGCGTGTGCGTGTGTGTGTGTATATCATTCCGTTTGGGGTCATTTATAATATGTGACCCTGGACCACAAAACCAGTCTTAAAGGTGCTGTATGTAGGATTGACACCGAGTGGTTGAACTAGGTATTGCAGTCCAAATTCTAAATATTGGAGTGGGTTTTTTTCACCCGGCCCCTCCTCCTCAGACTTGACACACACACAGGTTGCCAGACTGATGACACCAACAGGAACCAGCGCACTTGACGATGAATGAAATGAAATACGCTGTGTTTTCCGCCAACTGGCAACCCGGAGTCCCGAAATACAATTGGGTAAATTGGCAGTGGGCGGGTTTCACAAACCAAAACAGAGACCGACATTCCGGCACGGAACGCACATTTTCAAAGGAGAATAACTGACTGTAGCATTGTTTTTCAGATAAACAAGTATGTTAACTTAGCATGTTTCTATATTCATATTATGGTATTTTTATGCTTTAGTATACTCAAAAACTTACGTACAGCACCTTTAAGTCGCTGGGGTATATTTGTAGCAATAGCCAAAAATACATTGTATGGGTCAATATTGATTTTTCTTTTATGCCAAAAAACATTAGGATATTAAGTAAAGATCATGTTCCATGACGATATTTTGTAAATTCCCTACTGTACATATATTAAAACTTAATTTTTGATTAGTAATATGCATAGCTAAGAACGTCATTTGGACAACTTTAAAGGCGATTTTCTCAATATTTAGATTTTTTT